AGTGCATTTCTCTGGATAATCTTCACGGTATGGGGGCAGGAGCAATGCCATGTTGCCAGCATACAGTGTGGAAAGGATGAGCCACCCATCTCTCTGTCTTGTTTCCAAGTTTTGGATTTCTTTTTAATCCATTGATTTTTGGGGGGAGAGTAGAAGAGAGAGGGAAAGATAGAAACATCGATGTAAGAGAAACACATTGACTGGTTGCCTCCTGCACAAACCCTGCCCAGGGCCAGGGCTGGGGCGGAGCTTGCAACTGAGGTATCTGTCCTTGATTGACCCTTTGGTCTGCAGGCCGATGCTCTAGCCACTGAGTCAAACCGGCTAGGGCTGGATAATTTTTAACAATGGTAAGTAATTATTTCACATTATAAACAACCTTTCAACCTTAATGACGCTTACAAAAGCATTGCAGAGCCAAAAAGGGCAAGAAGGAAACCCATTCATCCCAGGTAAAAACTGAGTGACAGGGAGAGAAGCTGAGCTGGAAGGAGAACCTCCATGGCCAAGTCCAGGTCCGTGCTCACCCCTAAAGTCCACATGGCATTTCCCCTTTCGGGCTCCTCTTCCTCTGCAGCCCTATGTTGTTCTTGGTGGCATTTTCCCATCTGAGATTTCCCTCAGGGTTAGTCTGAGGCCAAAGCTCGAAGGCAGGAGGAGTCCCTGTTGCCTGCCTCTTCATCCCGAGGGGACTTGGTCTGAGTCCTGTTCAGCCCTCACACAATTAGGCTCCACAACATCAGATGAACCAGATCCTAGGATCCGGAGCCAAAGAAAATTGTCAAAACATGTTATCCTCCCCTCAAAAAAAAAAAAAAAAAAAAAAAAAAAAAAAAAAGGACAGAATCGATGCTACATTCCAAGAACCCCTCCCCACCACCACCCTTTTTGCATCTGCATCGCCACTGGAGAATTTTTTTTTTAAGTGACAGGTCCTTTTAAGCTCTTCGCTTCGCTACTGTGGGCCACTGTGCCATCTGTGATCAGAGACGCAGTCCCCATCAGACTAGCCCACAGTTTATAAGCTGGAATATCTCACTTGAACACGATTTCTGGTCCAAATTACACCCTCCACCATCCCCTCTGCTATAAGCAGGATCGTATCTGTGTGGAGATAGCTGGACTGGCTGGCTCCGGGCAGATAGCTCGCAGTGCACGGGTGGCTATTCAATGTGCTAAGCAGTCTGCCAGGAAACCGGCTGCCAGTGTGGCCTGATGCCCCAAATCTATGTCTTCCTCACAGCGAGCGCCATTTATTTTCCTCTCCCAGGGACTGCTGTCGCCATGGAAACTGTCCCACCAGCAGGATGGAGACAGGGTCCAACTTTCAGCTCCCTACACTTAGTTAGAGAGGCAACACATATATGTGAAACAAGGTCAAGAGTAAGAAAGACTGTGTGTGGGTGTGCAGTTAGGCAAGCAGATCCTCTGAAGTCCCCTAGAGTTCTGCAGCTAGGAGAGAAAGCTTTTTTGAGAACATCTGGGCCTCTCAGACTGTTTACACAGGATATAATGTCAACGACAAACAGTGGGTACAGAGTAAGTGCAGGCTGCGCCCCTCCCTGCAGCACCCATTCTCCCTCACAGTAACTGTGTGGGGCAGGTGGTTCTTATCGTCCTCGTGATACAAACAAAGAAACAGAGTCCCCAAGACCCATCACCTGCCCACATTCAGCGGAAGAAAGGCCCCAAATGGGGAGGAACACCCTGACAGTCCAACCCCAAACCCTGGACCTCTAACACACAGCACCTGCTCCCCCCCTCCCGCCTCTCCTCTCACTTCCCATCAGGCCAGGCTCCAAAGGCTCCAGCACCCGTCCCATCCACTGTCTCCCATTTTCGTTTGAGCATGTGATCCTCCCTGACCCTGGCCCCGGACCCCTTTATCACACCCCACAGAACAAGGACTCTGCAGAGCAAGATGTGGGCACCCCGGTTCCGGCCAGGTTTCTCCTTTTACAGAGAAGCAGTTTAGGAGGGGTGAGGAAATGTGTTGCCTCCAGCTGCACAGCTAATAAATGTCAGAGTTGGCACCTCAGGGCTAGTCCCCCTCCTCCCCTCAACCCCACCCCTACCCTTCCCAGTGCTCCGCTTGCTATGTTGCCTCACATCACTGTTTCTAATCCAAACCCTGAGCCAGCAGCTCAACTCCCTGGCCAAACGCCAGGGCTAATCCCCCTGCAGGCTGCCTGTTAAACCAGCCACTCATTAGGAGAACCATAGAGCTCAGGCAGGCAGGGTGCACAGCCTCTCAGGAAGTGCTTCCACTCGGCCCTCCTGCTCCGGGCCTCGCTGCCTCTGGTGCATTCAAAACCCAATAACGAAGCCCTGTTCATAAAGTGTGCTCCTCCCAGAGTCACCGGGGAGCTACTGCGGAGCGTGAAAGGGTTGCTGTGCTCCAGCCAGCGGGACCCAAGGTGTCCAGGACAAGAGACGGATGTCTGCACGGTTTCCCACGTCAGTGGCTTTAGGGAGCAGAGAGCTGCCTGTGAATGAAAGCTCCCAGCTCAGGACGAGCGGGGGGCGGTGCGCATTGTCTTGTTTTTCCGTTTTAACACGAATCTTAGCACCACCATGAACGTGCTTCCCTCACACACTGCAACATGGCTCTAGCTCTAGCTCACTGGAGCTGTGAATGTTTTTTAGAGCCAAGAGCATGGACCCAACCCGAAGAGCATGCTCAGACGGCGGACCCCTGCCCGACGAGCCCATGGGTACCTCTTTGCTCTGGTACATGGGTACCTCTACTTCCTTCTGGCAGAAATCCCTTTCCCCTTTCCTGCCAGCTCACCTTGCACTTCCCTCCTCCAAAGTCATCGCCTCTAAGAAGCCTCCCGGGATTTCCCATACAGGTGTAAGGAAACCTTATTCTGTGCTCCTAAAGTATTTGTGAAAATAACAGTCGCTACCATTTTTAGTGCCTAATACAGTCAGACTCTTCACATACATTATCTCTGTACCCGTTTGGCAGGCTCAGCTGGTCTGAGGTCAATGTGGCTGTTAGGTCACAAAGCTGGGTTTGGAATTCAGATCTCTCAGGCTCCAGAATCCATGCCTTTCTCCTACACAACTGGCAACTTTCTTGCCTCAAATTTACCCCTTCCCAGAGCAGGTGATAAATATGTGTTTCCTACTCCATCTGCCTAGACTGACTGGGCATGCCTGAGTCTTACGATGTATCCCTGTGCCTGGCACAAGGAGATGCTAAATAAATGGTTAGTGGAGCCCTAGCTGGTTTGGCTCAGTGTATAGAGTGTTGACCTGGGGACTGAAGGGTCCCGGGTTCAATTCTGGTCAGGGCTCATGCCCGGGTTGTGGGCTTGATCCCCAGTAGGAGATGTGCAGGAGGCAATCAATGATTTTTTCTCATCCTTGATGTTTCTATCTCTCCCGCTCTCTTCCTCTCAGAAATCAACAAAAATATATTTTTTTAAATAAAATAAAAAATAAATGGTTAAGTGGATCAATAGCTTGTTGAATGGTGACCTTATCTCTTTATCTAATTAGCTTATGGAACCTTGTTTTTGATAAAATCATAGCAATGTACTAAATCATACTCCACACACCACTCCCAATGTAGAATCAGGTAAGTTTTTCAGCCAGCAGATCCATATACTAACCCACTGCTTCTCCAGTTCTAATGTAATACAAGTCTCCTAATTTTTTTTAAAAAAAATATATTGTTATTGTCTTTTGAGAGAGAGAGGAAGGGAGAGGGACAGAGAGACAGAAACATGACTGAGAGAGAAACATCATCAATAGGCTGCCTTCTGCACACCCCACAGGGGAATGAGCCCACAACCAAGTACATGCCCTGACTGGGAATCAAACCAATGGCCTAATGCCATAGTCAGCAAACTGTGGCTCACAAGCCACATGCGGCTCTTTGGCCCTTTGAGTGTGGGTGAGTCTATTTTGAAGAAGTGGTGTTAGAAGAAGTTCAAAAAATTAGGCTCTCAAAAGAAATTTCAATCGTTGTCCTATTGATAGTTGGCTCTGTTGACTAATGAGTTTGCCAACCACTGGCCTATTGCAAGCATGTCAAACTCAAAGGCTAACACGGGCCAAATAAACAAGGGTTAAGTTTATGCGGGCCACCCCCCCAAAAAAAACTCCCACTTTCATAGAAAGGTAGGTTTATTTTTATGGAGACATGCTGAATACAAAGGGCTGAAATTAATAAGTAATCGTTAATGAGTATATGATGTGGGCCACATGTGGCCTGTGGGCTGCAAGTTTGACATGCTTGGCCTATTGGTTCCTGGCTCAACGCTCAACAGTTGAGCTACCCTGGCCTGAATTCTGTTAAATGGAAGGTCCTGATGTGAAAGGGCTAGGTGGGGCTTGAGGGTCTGCATTTCTGGCAAACTTCCCGTGACACTGCTGATTTCAAGACCTCATTTGAGAGCCATTTGGGTCCAAAGGCAGTAGCAGCAGCAGCCATTGAACTTCCATTCCCTTTAGCTGGTAACGAAAAATACAACCTCACTCGTGGGCCGTGCTCCTTCCAAAGCAGGACGGGGCTGCGAATGCTCCTGGCTTTCCATGCTTTAGCCAAATGTTTAAGTTGTGCTCTGGGCTGTAAACATTTGGCAGCATGAACATTGGTTTGCACTTTGGTTTAGTCACCCCCTATCAATAAATTACAAGAGGGGACGTTTGCTGGAAGATTCCATTCCAGTGACAGTGGATGGGGAAGTGGAGGAGGGGGAGGGAAGTGGCAGATGGTCCCTCCTAGCGGTCTTGGCAACTAGTGACAACTGCAGGCTGGGAGGGCAGCCCCGCTGCAGTGATGGGAAGTGCCCACCCTTGCACACCGCCCACCCTGAGGCCACGTTCCCAGCGGGTCTCCCGGTAAACAGTCAGCGATGGCTGGTGCCTCTGCAGCCCTGTGTGCCCCACACCATCCCTTTGCCGGCATGCCAAGGGTTTCAGAGGTCAGGCATCCTGGGTCCCAGACATGTGGAAGGAAAACACCCTCTTTTCTGTTCTTTTTCCAGATGTCCCTGGGCCAGCAACAGTCAGCGCGAGGCGTGTCTTGTTTGCGATGCAAGGGGGCGTGCTCAGGCTTCGAGCCGCACCCATGGAGGTAAGGGAGCTCATCCGGAGGCGCTGGCCCTCCTCTCAGGGGCCCTGGTGATGCTCTGCAGGGGCTGCTTGGGATGCACGCTGTGGGGCAGAATGGCCCCGGGACCACTGCGTTCCCTCTGGGCCTAACTCAGAAATGCCAGAGAGCCCTCGGGGAGCCAGGGTGAAGCTGGAGTTTAGTTCTCCCTTAACCCTGTGATGGTGGAGGCCCGGCCCAGCAAGCACTGCCCTCGGAAAGTGTGGGCAGTTGTTAGCTGGTGCTTGGTCCACCCTGGGTAGAGCTCTGGCCTGGGGTTTGGTGCCTGGGACCACACCGTCATCCCCGTTGGTGATCTCAGTGCCCCTTGGACAGAAGTCAGGGTGTCCACACACCTAAAACCAAAACCTGGAATTCACACCCAGGAGGGAGGACCCCAAGAGCCAGATTAGCTTCCAAGCTTGTGCCTTTCCGCAGTCAAAGGTTTTCTATGATGGATGCAGAAATGGCCACTTTAACACCACGGACAGCCTCTGTATCTGTGTCCTCCACAATCTGGCTTCCTGGAGAAAGTGGGCGGACTTCTACAAAGCCCCAGGCATAGACCTAGCAACATGAAAAGCACGAATAAAGGAGAAATAGTGTGGGAACCACCTCAAAGAACATCTCATTCGTTAGCACTTTTCATTTCAAAGTTTGCGTTCCTAACATCGCTACTGGCACCTGAAAGTTGACGCTAATCAGGAAAACAGATGACCGCTTCTCCCAGGTTTACACACAATGGGTGTTTTTATATACTGCAGGTACTGGGGAGGGCAGAGGACCCGCGGAAGACCGGGATACCCCCTCCTCCCACCTCCTCCCACTTTGTGCTGTCTGTCGCTGCCCATGTCAAACCAATGGTGCCATGGTGGTGCATCTGCTTAAAGAAGAGTCTCCCTGAGCCTTATAAAAGGGAGAGGCAAGAGGATGGCATTGATCAGGAATGAAGTGCCCCAGGTCCACAAACCAAGCAACCTCTTCTCATGAGAACGAAGAGGGCTCGTCTTTGCCCTGTGTCGCCTTTAGGGTCCTCCTCTCTTGAGGTGCCAGAATTATCCTTGAGTTTGTCCATTCTGACTTTTCTCAAACTGCAGCCTATGAATGGGAACTTGGACACAAGCTTCTCCTCAAATAACATCTTCCCCCACTTGATGTCACATGGCACGTAGTTCACTGAAGACAGGAAGCAGTTCACACTAAACAGTAGGCTCTACCTTCTGTAACCCACTGTTTTCCAAGTCCACCTCCACAAAACCCTTATCCACACACTAACACCCTGAGCTCCCACACGGCACATGCACCTTTCATGCGGCCCCACTAACCCCACTTCCCGTTTAGTTTCCATCCGATGCTCTCCCCTCCCACCTCACCTGGAAGTTCCCTGAAGGCTGAGAAGGGGCCTCTTCCCTTCCTGGTACACGGGGGCCTCTCCCCCTCAGTGCTGCTGGCATTTGAACTGGAGGACTCTTCGCTGCAAAGGGGGAGCTGTGAACTGTGGGGTATTTCACAGCATCTCTAGCCGCTGCCCTATAGAAGCCACAGCACTCCACTGTGTCAATCAAATGTGTCTCGAGACATTGCCAGGTGCCCCAAAGCAGTCCCATCCCAAAGGCCCATGGGCCTCAGGTAACCATGTGTCTGCCGCTGACCTTTGCAAAAGTTAACTCAAGTTAAACTTGGCACTTGCTTTCCACAGGGCAGCTGCTGCCAGCAGGAGACCGCCTCTCTTTTCTGCAGGTTGAGCTCACCTGTCCCCATCTCTCCCCGCCCCCAGGAAAATATGCAAGTCCTGCAAATGCAGCCAAGAGGACCACTGCCTGAGCTCCGACCTGGAAGATGACCGGAAGATCGGCCGCTTGCTGATGGACTCCAAGTACTCCACCCTCACGGCCCGCATCAAAGGCGGGGACGGCATCCGGATTTACAAGAGGAACCGGATGATCATGACCAACCCCATTGCCACTGGGAAAGATCCCACCTTTGACACCATCACCTACGAGTGGGCTCCCCCCGGAGTCACCCAGAAACTGGTAAGACAGCTTCCTCCAACTAAGTGGTTATCTTCTTGCCCTCATAAATAAATGTTAGCCAAGCCACAGATTCCCACCTTTCAAGAGGGCAAGGTTACAGGAGTAGTAGAAACGGCTGTGGTTTCATTTCTGTTCCTACCTTACAATGTGACCTTGAAGTGAAGAGTGTCTGGGCCTCGGCTTCCTCATCCATAAAATGGGTACAGTTATTCATATGACCTCCAGGGCCCTTCCAACTCCAGTACCTGGCTGCTCGTGGTTCCCTGTGTGCTCCTCACTTCTAAACGGTGGATGGCTTATCATTCGGACGTCTCCAACTGCTTGTCTTCATCTGAGCCATGTTCATCCCTCAGCGTGGCTGGGATGAGCCATTTGCAAGCAGAGAAACAGCCCTTGCTTCTCCCTCGCAGCTGAAGTCTCCTGGGCTTAGATGGGAGAGCCAAACAGGCTTTTCTCAGATGTGGGCAGAGGCACCCAGAGAAGGTTGGGGGAAAGAGTTGGAGAAGGCCTGGGGAGGCAGGAAGGATAAGGCCCACAGAGAATGGGTGACTTGCACAAGTCACCTGCCCTCCCACCCCCCTGAATCTCTGGATACTTCCTAATTCATCCCTGGAATATCTGGGGGCTCATAGAAGTCCCCATGCTGGGCCTGGCCCCAGACCAGTAAGTCACAAGCCCCAGACCTCAGGGTCAGAATTCCCAGAAGTGAGCAGTTAAATGCTGTCCCAGATAGCGCCACGTGCAGCCACCCCTCAAGACCCACTGGACCAGTCCAATTATGAGCGGACCACTCAAATTTCAGCAAGCATATAAATCACCTGGAGAGCTTGCCAAAATGCATCCGGGACGCTTGGGTCCTCAGATTCTGCCCTCTCGACAAGCTCCCAGGTGCTGCTGATGCTGCTGGTCCCAGGCCACACCTGGGATAGCAACAGCCTAGGTCTGTGGTCGGCAAACTGCGGCTCTTTGGCCCCTGGAGTGTGGCTCTTCCACAAAATACCACGGCCTGGGTGAGTCTATTTTGAAGAAGTGGCATTAGAAGAAGTTTAAGTTTTAAAAAATTGGCTCTCAAAAGAAATGTCAGTCATTGTACTGTTGATATTTGGCTCTGTTGACTAATGAGTTTGCTGACCACTGTCCTAGGTGGTATCTGTAAGTTAGTAAATTAACAGAGGCTCTACAGTTTTGGAGACTCAAGCCTGACATTTAGTTAAATCTCACCTGGGAGACCCGTTGGAGTCCTGCGTGGTTCTGTCCCCACAGACTCCTCCCACAGCTCCTGCTGCACCCCTGTCACTCAGTACGTGACAGCCCACTGGCTGTCCTCCTTCCTGCTTGAAACACACTAAGCTCTCAGCCTTCTCAGGGATTTTGCACTTGCTGTTCCCTTCCTTGGCGTGTCCCTTCCCTGTTCTTGTATGGCTGGGTCCTTCTGACAGTCAGGTCTCCAACTCTCCAAACTACAGGAGATGGCACCCACTCTCCTACTAGCTGAGCAGGAAGGGGCGCAGCCCTTTAAGGCCAGAACCACAGACAAATCCTGAGACTAGGGAATCCTCACCAGGCGATCCGTACCCAGTCTACCTGCCTGACATGATGACAAAGGGAGACTCCCCAGGCCACTGACCCCAGAAGGACCCTGACCTGCAGGGGTCCTGCTCCAGACGCACCGGGAGGTCTTGTAAAGAGGCTCTTTGCCCTTCACAGTTTCTCGTGCTACGTGGCCCTGGCCTTTCCTTCCCCCTCTCTCCCATCCCCAGGACCTAGCCAACTAGAAGATTTCTGTTCATTTATTTTTTTCCTAAAAAGGCCCAATTGGTGGTTATCTCTGAACATATCAGTATTCAGATGGTTACCATTCATACCCATGTGGAAATGTTACTGACTTCAGACCTTATTGATTCTACTGCTGGAAGGTGTCTTCCCAGATTTTTTAAATTAATAAACCATGAAAACCCTTACATCTGTAATGATTTCATTATATTTTTCCAAGGAAAGCAATTTTAAACCGGATTGACTTTCTTAAAAATTAGGCATCAACATGAGTTTACTAAAGTAAAAATATTCCATCTTGAAGGAAACAAAATCCATATCCCAAAGCCAGCAAATCTAAAATGAACACCTCCTTACGTCACACCGTTCTCATCAAGAAAGTGGCCTGGGGCTGCCACTGGGTGTCACCACCCCTTCCCTGGGGATCCTCGGGTTCGGCCAAGCCCTGGAGAAGCTGGGGAAGGTTCCCTGGTTCTCGGGTCTGTGCTGGGGCTGCAGAATCACCGTGGGTTTCTCCCCCCGCTTCCCCAGGGCCTGCAGTACATGGAGCTCATCCCGAAGGAGAAGCAGCCAGTGACGGGCACCGAGGGCGCCTACTACCGCCGTCGCCAGCTCATGCACCAGCTCCCCATCTACGACCAGGACCCCTCACGCTGCCGCGGACTTTCAGAGAACGAGCTGAAAGTCATGGAAGAATTTGTCAAGCAGTATAAGAGCGAGGCCCTCGGCGTGGGAGAGGTGGCGCTCCCCGGGCAGGGCGGCTTGCCCAAGGAGGAGGGCAAGCAGCAGGAGAAGCCGGAGGGCACAGAGCCCACCACCCTGACCACCAACGGCAGCATCGGTGACCCAACCAAAGAATACGTAAGTCTCTCCCAGGCCTCAGGGCTGTTGCAGCTGCCAGGCAGGCCTCCTCCCTCATCCAGGCACTTGTCCATGCAGGCAGGCCTCCGGCGGCTATCAGTGCTCGTTTACTCTGTGCCTGGCATTGTCCCGTGGACAGTAACACAAGGTCACTGCCTCCAGAGTCTCTCTGTCCCATGGCAGTCACAGGCAACCAAACTGTGGCAGCTTAGGGAAAAGACATCTACACTTGCTTGGGTGAAGGTGGGTGTGAGTCAGGAGCCAAATCCCACGCAGGGCTAGAGCTAGGAGCCACTCAGGCCCTAAAGAGGTGAGCATGTGCCGTGAAAGGCCCCGAGAGCAGAGTGGAGGCAGAAGATAGAAGGAAGTCCCATGTAATTAAGGCAGGGTGAGCTGGGGGAGGCGGACACCAGGCAGACCAGGTCAGCGGGGATCACTTCCTGAAGAGTCATGACATCCATCCATCCATCCATCCATCCACCCACCCATCCATCCATCCATTCACCCATCCACCCACCCACTCACCCATCCATCCATCCATCCATTTATCCATCCACACACCCACCCATCCATCCTGCCATTTATTCATCCATCCATCCATCCATCCATCCATCCATCCATCCATCCATCCATCCATCAATCTGCCCATCCATCCATCCATCCATCCACCCACCAATCCATCCATCTATTCACCCATCCCCCACCCACTCACCCATCCATCCATTTATCCATCCACCCACCCACCCATCCATCCTGCCATTTATTCATCCATCCATCTATCCATCAATCTGCCTATCCATCCATCCATACATCCATCCATCCATGCCTAAGTACTGATCAGCCTGTGCTGTTTGCTAAGCGTAGGAATTCAAACAAGCCGGATACTCTCCCCACGTGGGAGAAAGCCAACTCTGAGGCTTCACTCCAAGGGCCATGGGAGCTGTGGCAGGCTCCCCAGAAGGTATTGTAGGATCGGAGCCAGATTGAGGGTGATCCTCTGGAGGCTGTGTGGGAACACACAGAGGAGCCAGGGTCTGGGTGGTGGAAGCCTCAGGGCTAGGTTTGCCTCATTCTGTCCCCCAGGAAGTGAAGGGACCAGCTTGAGACTCATTGCTGAGTTCCATGGCTGTCAGCTCCCTTCCACCTTTTGCACCATCCCCACCCCCCACACCCCTCAGCAGTCAAGTGGCCTCAGGCTTCTATTTGATAATTGGAGACAGAAGTACATGGTCCTCAAGCAAACTACCTGGCTTTCTGGGAAGAGGCTATGGTCACTGTGTGAGCCAGACACCCGAGGCAATGCCAGCCCAAATGGCTTTGTCCTCGCTGCTGCATTGACTGCTGCATTGACGCAGACTTGTTATCTCAAACTGAGGCCTGCATCTCCCAGCCCCGTGCTGTTAGCATGTCCCTCTAGGATTACCATCTAAGAAACTGTTTATCTGAGAATTAAGACAACAAAACTTTCTCTACCACACATTTGGGGATGATGTTGAAAAGACTCATTTCTCAGGAAGACAACACGTCTCAGGGACTTTAAAATTAGATCCTGTTTTATAAACAAATCTCCTCCCTGACTCTGCCTTCGTTCCACCCTCAACTAGATATTTGTCTTTAAGGATTAATCCTGTTTAATTCCAAGTTGGAAGGCCACTTCGTTGTGACATTTCCCAGTTGCCATTCCCGAGAGACAGATGTTGATCTGAGAACGTATTTTCTCTTTGACTCAGCCCCACATTTTGTTCAGGGTGGAAGTGGGACAAAGGTGGCTTGGGATCCCTGATCCCTGCCCACGGTCAACTGTAGGAAACACTTCTGACACTTAGGAAGTATGTAAACAAGACCAGACAGTAAGTGGCAGGTTCCACAGTCAGAAAATAAAGTAGGGACTCCAAAGGAAGCCACTTGTGACTGGCCTGGGCATTGTCCTTCCCTCCCCTATCCCCAATCTTAATGCAATAGCCAGTTATGTGATCAGTGGCTTCAGGTCTGTCACCAGTGCGAGAGGCTGAGGTCTTATCTTGTTCATCTCTGTGCCTGCAGCAGTGCCTTCAACAGAGGCAGTAGGTGCTCAGTAAATAGGTGATCCATGGATGAGTGAACAAATGCATGAATGAATGAATGTTCAAATTAAGTTGAGCCTGGAAAGATGGGGACAGTCTGAGTGGCCATGTTGCTTAGGGGGAGGAGGATATTTCAAGGTCATAGTTATAAGCACCTGGTTCGAGCCAAATGCGATGCTCAGTCTCGCGGGGTCTTTGTTTAATGCGAACAGTGGCCTGGTGGGGTGAATTGCACCAACCCCACTTACAGGTGAAGAGTCAGAGATTCAGAGAGGATTGGTAATTTTTCCAAGGTCCCCTGGCTTCTAGGTAGAAAAACATGGATCTGAAAGTCTTTCTGGAGATATGAAACTCTCTTGTTATCTGTTCTAGGAAGAAAGGAGGCTGCTGCTCTTCTTTAACTCCCTTGTATCTCCTTGAAGCCACTGAGCAAGTCCTATCCAGGCAGCCAGGCAGCCTGCCAAGCCATAGACCGTGTGTGCCTAGCAATGCCAGGTTTGGTGTGGACGTGGGCTGCACCCCTGAGCAGTTCCGCCTTACCCCAGGAGGTGGCTGCATTAAGTAGACATGGGGGCTGGCCATCCTGGGTGCTGTGCCCTTGTTGTTTCTCATAACAGGACAGTGTGGTCAGGTGCCCAAGGCAAGAATCAGGTGCAAGGTCTGACTTCTGCTCCCCTGATGAGAGCAATGAACTTGACTCAAAGTGGTCAAGGCATTCAACTTCACCTGGGAGTGAGGAGGAGATTGTAGGACTTGGTCTGATACTCCAAATCCAGAGTTTTATGGAGAAAACAGAGGCCCAAAGAGGGGCATGTGAAACTATTATACTAGAGCTCTATTGGTAACATATCGTCGCTTACCATCCTAATCGTGGCCTATTGCTGCTAACAGCTACAGTTTAGTGGGCATTGCTGTGAGGCAAGGGAGGGCGTGCCGAGCTCTGCCATGTCTGAAACTCCCACACCCAGGGGCCTGCAGGTTCAAACGAACTGACAGACTCCAGTCCATCCTTCCTGCTTCCAAAGGCCAATTACTCAGAAAGCTAATATAAGGATCAGTAGCCGTGCAAGGTTGGGAGACCTCGGAGTAAATAAAAACGAAGGGCTTTTCAAGGCTAAAGCAATGGTTCTCAAACTAAAGTCACTAGAAGGCTTGTTCACATTCGGAGGACTGGGTGCCGCCAGCACTTCCTGCTTAGTAGGTACAGGTGGGCCTGAGACTCTGCATGTGTCACGAGCCCTCGGGGCGATGCTGACGTTGGTCTGGGAGCCGCACTTGGAAAACCACTGCTAATGAGTGTTATAAATGACCTCACGTATCAGCTCAGCAGAAGTGGGATCAGCAGAGGGTCTGGGTGAGGGTCCGGGAGATGATAACCCAGGCATTTCCCAGGTTTACATGACCTCCTAGCTTAGAGAATGCTACACGTCAGTCTCATGTTTTCTGAGCTATCCATGGGGAGTTCTGGACATACAGGCACAGCATTTAACACAATGCTTTACACCCAACCCTGCACACAGCAATCAGGGGCCACCAACCAGCCCCCACTTTTCCTGTGCTGCACCCCGTGGCACTGGAGGCCGGTTCTCCCGGGACCTCACCTGGCTCCATCCTGGTGCAGCTCAGCCTGTCACAGTCATGACCTTCCTCGGGCACCTTGGGTGGGGCTCAGGCTCTGTGAGCAATGTCAGCTGCCCAGCCTCCTCCGCAACCCCTCCGCAGTGTCCTCAGAGGGAAGGGTCAGCCAGACCAGGGGAGCCTCGCTGCCAAAGCCTTTCCCAGCTCGCCCTGTGGAATCCCCCCATCGGGCTGGGTTCCCAGTGAAGCCAGGTAACGGAGGGCCAGCCTAAAGGGCCCTCCAGGCTGTGGGGACAGTGCCATCTGAGCCTGACCCATCCTATTGGCCAGAACTGCCCAGTCATTCGGATCTGAGCAGAGCTCGCAAATCTGCACCCCCAGCTTTCAATCCCCAGGACTTCGGGCAACCTCAAGTCAGCCATGGCACATCTGACGTGACCCAAGGGCGATGGCTGCCCATGAGGACCACAGAATGGTGCTCTAAATGTGCTACTATGATACGGAGGTTAGGAAAGGCAGAAGCCACAGGTGAGGCCTTGAGAATCCCTCTTCCTGGGGACACACCATGGCAGAAATATCCCGGACACTAACTCTCCCCTTTTCCCCCCCTAAGTCATGCCCTTTTGATCAGCGAGGCCAATTAAAACCCCAAATTATTTAGCCTCCCTCTCTTGTCCTCCTTTGCCCACTACGTGCTTGTGGATGGATGGAAACTCTTTATTGCACAGCAGGCCCATTCATCTCTTTGAATCGCCCTAACAACCAGCAAGTGATGTTACAGCCATTTCATAGGTGTGGAGCCTGGGTCACAAAGAGCTTAACCCAGTGGTCGGCAAACCATGGCTTGCGAGCCACATGCGCTCTTTGTACCCTTGAGTGTGGCTCTTCCACAAAATACCACGTACGGGCAAGCACATACAGTGCGATTGAAACTGCGAGGCCCATGCACAGAGGTTGGTTTCTGGCTCTCAAAAGAAATTCCAATCGTTGTGCTGTTGATATTTGGCTCTGTTGGCTAATGAGTTTGCCGACCACTGGCTTAACCGATTTACGGATGAGAGGTGTGGCTGGGATTGCATCGGACCAGTGGATTCTAAAACTCCTGGGGGTGAGTGAGAACTCCTGGGTGGGACCCAGCATGTGGGTACACCAAGGCAAGGGGTGTATATTTAGGTTTCCTGGGTCAACAGCAGTGTTTAGAGTAACTCAGAGCCCAGCCCAGTGGATAATTTGGGGACCTCTTGTCTGGGTGCCAAGAACAGGGAAGGACTTGCCTGCCCCGCCCCAGTCTCACCCACTGTGGGTCTTGGGGCTTGAAAGGGTTCTGTGGCCAGGACCAGGCGCCTATCCCACCAGAAC